ACAAAAATCTTTCAGTGGATCTTTTTAGACGAGTCCACTTCTAGACCAGTGACTATGATGCAGACACTGTTTATGGCTGATTCAGTGCTTCTCTCTGTGTACTGTACACTGTGGTGGTTACACAACACAAATTACTCCGCCAAGAGGGCTCACCGCTCACTGTAATGTCGAGTTGACAAGAAAATTATCACAAAGCAGCTTCCTTCCCTTGAGTAAGAACCACCACCACAAAAAAAGTTTAAGCTGACAAAACTCCCTCCCAAACAGCACCTCTGTTCCTCTACACATGCTGCTCCCACTCTGAGATGAACCAGTTGCTATGGTAGCAGTATCATGGAAATAGCATTTTAATCACCAGACCAGCCCCACCCAGCAATGAGACAATGCCGGTCGATCTTTGTTGTACAAGAGACTAATGCCAGACTCACTTTTATCTTAGATGATGCAACATTTTTTGCAATCGATAAAAGAAATTCACTTCCATGGGATTGATCTCAATCCATTTCAGATGACTTCAAAACAAAAATATTTAGGTTTAAATCAAATCTATGTAGCATAATTCTACATGTTTGTCTCCACCATGGACATTTGACTAGAGGTGAAGCTTTTGTCAACTCCACAGGTGAGGTAAACCTCAGACCATTTGCATGCACATTCTGCACCCTAGGTTCTACTTTTAAATTCTAATACCATTAGAAAGACAGCTACTTCTGATGTCCAAATGACACATGGCGTTGTAAAGCTCTATCCTTTTTTTACTGTGTACTGTCCTACTGAAAAGCAACCACATGGGGTAGTGGATGCTTTGTTTGAGCTGGACAGTTTTGTTATCTCCAGGGGAGTGAACACCTGGGGCCTGTACCATGAACGTAGATGAACAAACTTAGAGTTACAGGATTAGTTTTGGGTTGACAAATCCAAACCGATGCAATCAGGCATTATTGGTACCATGATGAAGCTCATCAACTTTCTTTGATAACCCAGACTTTGATCCTTAAGCATGATTACTTGAGGCGCGCGCGTGCACATAAAAGAGTGACGTGCCACCGAACAACCAATTGCGTTCGACATGGAGAGAGGGAGGTCCTTATATTTCTCCGCTGAGGAGCAAACTATTATAATGCAGAAATACAATGAATTTAAGCACGTTTTACAAGCGCGCAGCAATACCGTGTCTGCTGCCAAAGTGAGAGAAGACTGTTGGAGAAAGATTGCGGATAGCGTTAATGCGTAAATTAAATACATATTTTATACATCAAGGTCTAATTATGTATATGTAACAATAGTTTATGTATTTGCACGTCCGTAAAAATTATGCTAACACTTTACAATAACAGTGTAATTGTTAAAAGCATTCGACCGGACAAATGAAGAATGATCACTAAAGATGTAGTGTTACTAACTACTTTTCAATTACTGGATTTCAATATGCTTTCACTACTGAACTACTGTTAACAGTTAAAATAATTTTAAATGCTTGCACACACCCACACACACACGCGTGTACACGCAAAAAAACACAACGCAATACATTCCATTTGCGTTACAGTAAGGGCATGGCATCGACGAGTCACATTTGTTATGTGCGGCTCTAGAATTACGCAAAGATACAATATGCCTTTGGCGGAAAAATCTGTATCTTTCATACAAGTAACTATCAGGGAAGGCAATGGGATCTTGACCTGTCCCTAAAAACTCTTTCTCTGCGAAGCGCTCTTCGAACAATTTGCGCGGAAATATCCACGGGATTTCTCAGAAAAGGACAAGCCATTGCAACAGACACTAGAAATTAGTTGCGTCACTTAAATGTTCACTACTGATTGGTCAAATTTCGTGTTGAGATCTAGAATCCAGAACTTAACCTGCCCCGGAGTAGGTTAGCCGTGCAGCGCAAGTTACCATGGCAATGAACACCAACTGAAGCAGAGTTTCTTCCATGGTACCTAAAACCCAGCATTGGTGCAAACTAATCCGAAACTTACCTGGCTAGCCAGCTAATCCGGCTTCATGGTACAGGCCCCTGGTGTGGTAAAGCTCTATTGAAATGTCAGAGATGTCTATACGTTGTTGTTCTTGAAGGACCAGTTCCAGTCTCTCTTATTGCGCTTCTTGTTTCCATCCAGGGTTTTTTTTTTTAATCCAATACTCCAAAATGTGCATAAAAATTGGTGGATGGAACTTCAGCTATTGATTGCCCCCTGCACAGCACTCTTCCCACAGATAAATTACAAGATTGAGGCCCTGTCCACACGTAACCGATTATTATTTTTTTTTGTCCGGAAGGTGGGGTTTTCGTAACACTCAGTCACTGTTGTGTTTGCAAACAGTGAGATTAATGGCGGCCAAAGCAAGACCTACATTGCAAGACCATATTCCGCTATTGTGGCTTACAGTATGTACAGGATTACATGCGCCTGATACTTAATTGATCACCGAACAGAGGCACTTGGGTTTTTGCTCATACAGTGTTGAATTAACTTTTTAAAAAGCCCATGAATTTTTACAGTGTTTCCAGGGTGTTTGTTTTGCAAATAAATTGACAATATTTTTCTTATTTTTGGCACATACTTATATTGTTTTATCAGACTTATTCACCAGCAAATGGAAAGTGAGCTTATTAGGTTCAGACCTGGTGATCCAGAGTCAGAATGCAGGTGAATTTAGCACTTTAGAACTCACTACCAAGATTTTACATGTTCACTTCACCAGAACTGTAGTGAAATGTAGTATTTATTAGCATATTCTGAAAAGGAAAAAAGTATTTTTGTGCCCCGAAGATTATGACGCTTGGCCTGCATTGAGAAATGGAATCATGGAATACATGTAAATGAACAACATGCATATTTTATCAGTCATAAGTCCATCCACCAATCCCTATAATCCATCTAGGGCCATTCATCACCCTTGCCTGGGAAGATATTCATTTCCAAAACAACCCATTTGATGTAATAAAAGATCTTTGGAAGACAGCAGAAGGTTCAAGAACAGATGAGAGACACTGATTTATGAAGAATTACTTGTGTTCAGATCTCACTTCAAAACGGTCCTGAAACGAAGACAGCCTCTAGAATAGAATCAAAACTAAGTCATCTGTAGCAGTACAACTAGCAACTACCTCAAGACTAAACAGGGCGCCAGCATTCTGATCATGAAGATATGAACAGATATTTAATCATTTATTGTTCATAGCCTTTGACAAAGATTTCCTTATGGGAGAAATAAATAGTAATAAATGTATAAATGTCCCGCAGCCTGGTATTAAATATAAATGTCAAAAGATAGACATTGAGAGCTGCCTGACATCACTAATAAAAGCACAGCTGAAATAACAAATGATCAAATCAGGCGGTCTACAGAGGAGAAAAGCATAGACGAGAAGTAGTAGCAGTAGCTTCATCCAAGAGAGACACTAAGAGAATTAAAGGCAGAGGAAATTTAAGAGCTACCTAAATGAGGTGTTCAGTGTTCCGAGTCTTACCTTCATTACTTTAATTATACCACGAAAGGGCAAAACGTCCTCATTTCATGGAATAAATGAGACTTTAGGCTCGTTTTGTAGAAGATTAAGATAAAAGCCTCTCTAAAACGATATTGCTCCATTCCCTGAACATCAGTCTTTGCTTCTTGCTGATTAATTGGCAAAAACGCTACAAGCCATGTAAAATGGTAATATTCACAGAGGGTTAAACCCTAAAGTGTAAAAGCGAGAATGGGATGAGCAGAGCGGAGGTGCCTCAGAGTCTACAATCAGCTCAGTTGAGTAATAGAGGGCAAAATGAGATCATTTTTTGAAACAATTTACACCAACAAAGATTTTCTCTGAGGTAAAAAAAAAACACTGATTACCCAAACAGAGCAGTGTTTTGTTATTCTTTATGACAAGTTGCTAGATCGTCACTGACACCTTGGCAGTTTCTCAACGATAACATGATTTATTAATGAAAAATGTTTTTGGTGGAAATAAGCCACCAGCACAATCTGAACGATCAATAACGCGAAGGAATCTGTTTAGTGCTTTGATTAGGATTCAAATCAAATGTGCATCAGCTGCAGTGATCTGTTAGTCAGTGACACTGGAGAAAAATGTCCGATATCCAACCATGTTAAACACCCACATGTCGTTTAAAACCTCACAGCGTCTGATTAAAGGGTCACGTAACCGTTGAGCTAATCATAAAAATAAACACAATATCACCATGCTATAAAAAGAGCCAAAACAATCAGTAGGTAAGTAGCCATCCAATCATTGAGCTAACAATTGCCCTGTCGCTAAGCCTTACTCTCTGAAAATTGTGTTTCAATAGTCAGGACATTTCTTCAAAGACTGTACAAATGGAGCTTAAACATGCAAATGGGAAGTTAAATAATTCAGTTACTTACACAGACATGTAGGTCTCATTTGTTATATAAAATCAAGTTGTACAAATCTAGTTAAAATTGTTCAGTTCACATTTGATTACTTTTAGCCAGGATTAGTACTATGTTGAGCTTTTAACTGAAGGTGCTGCTTTTTACTTTAGCTTTTTGAAATGACCAATAAAACACATTTTGCCACTAGACTACACAACAAAAAAAAAATCTCTTGAAGTTTTGACTTCTTGGGTAATAATATCAAAGGCAGTTTCTAATGAACTCAAGGTAAAGATTTCCACTGACATAATTTAATAAAGTCTACATTTAACTCATGAAAGATCCTCCCCCACAATCAACTCTCCTTCCCCCACACCCCTGCAGATACTTCAGAGAATTAGCAAATTTATGCACGAAAAGATGCTAAAAGTTAGCCTGCATAGAAGCCTTTTGGAAAAGAGGTTCACAAAAGTCTGGGACTTCTAGTGTTAAGAAGCCAAGATATGCTTCTATTTACCGACTGATGAGAATTGTTTTTTTTTACATCTCACTTTAATTTGTTGATTGGCATCAAAATTACATATACATTTAGCATTTAGCAGATGCTTGTATCCAAAGCGACTTACGTTTGAAAGAATGAAAACCGTTCTTACTTTCCCTAGGATTTGAACCCACAACCTTCGCATTGTCAGTGCAATGCACTACAAACTGAGCCACAGAAGGCATATAAAATAAGCATGTGGCGTACAGACTCCAAAATATGGACGTGGTGTCTAGTCTAGATTCCCTCAGAAACTGAAGGAATTGTTAAGATGTTAATTATAAATAAATGGCCCTAAAATCCCTTCCTTTGTAATCTTTATCCAAATAGAAGCATTGTTTGCCAAGCCATCTGTGCATAATTGGCGAACTCCAATTATGAAAGAACCTATACTATATCCACTTGGAGAAGCTGAGTTCTTGCAAAAAAATATACCTTAGCTTGATTTAAAAAAAAAAAGTAAGCCTCTATTGAAAGAAGGAATATATTCTCAGATGGAAACAAAGTAAACTGGGACGACCATTAAAGTGGTGTATTGCCTGGTCAACTGTAAAATTCATGTATTCGTCCAATATCTGAGGAAAAATCCAGCACCCTAGTGCCTTCTACTATATTCATGAATAACCAAGTCTGAAGGTGCACCGGCGTTCCTCTGACTCAACCACCTCAAGGTGTTTGGACATGGCCAAGGTTCCAAACATTAAATTCACATCCTAATACAGCAAGACAGATACTCCACTGAGATTCTGGAAGCACACAAAAACACTGTTGGCATGCGGGTGGTCTGACACGAATTTAGCCCAAGATGTACCCCTAAGCCAAAAAACATAGCCAGGAAAGAGAAGGGCCCGTCATGGGAGAGATAACATGTTGTGATGTCTGGAAGTCTCTGATCAGAGTTGAACAGACGTTAAGGAAAGCAGTCCTATTGCCTATGAAACAAGTCGACTGGTGTGCAACAAAGCACGTAAAAGCCTTCAGCAGACACTGGACTAGTAAACAAAAACCATGGCAACTCTTTTTTTGCATTGAAAGGTTTTCTTACATCCGTATTTTATCCAATTATGAAATTATCTTATTGAGACTTAATCCCACAAAAGAAAGAGCTCTGGTTAAGTCATTAAGTTTGTGTGGAGCTAGATTTATAGCTAGACGGACACATAAACACTCTGGTTGTAAAGTAACCCCAGCAGATGCCACATTTTCAATCAAAAGCTTCACCTTTCCAAACAGATTTGCTAAATCAAGTTCATCCTGAACTGTCCGCTCCTTTCTGGAACATATCACAAAGGCATTAATAGGATTTGAGCCAGCACACCTCTGGGCTGCTGTGATATCATTATGATACGCACAGGGGCTCCAGACACATAAACCTTTCAGGGAAAGAAGAACCAGTCAGATCAAGAGACAGACAAATTCTGTAATGCTTCGAAATCATATTATCTAAGACGCTTTGGACACCATATTTAACCTGCACGAATGTTATTGCACTTTGCAATGTAAATTAAAAGGTACCAAAAATCAAAGAATCAACAGTTTTTAAATAAATTAAGGTCCATGTCTTTTTACCTTTGTTCAAATCGTTGAGGTTTACCAACAAGGATCTCACAGTTTAACTATGGAAGTTCTAAAGAAATGGACAACAATGCAGGTATTTACCTGGGTCAGTTTCAGTAGGCATGTTGTTCAGGAGTCAGCTCTGAGCAAATGTAGACATTGGAGCTATTGATTTACTATGAATTAGAAGAAAATGTATGTTTCTCCACATCTCTGCATTTCAGGTTTAGGTTATAAGTTTAAAGCAAAACACTGAGTAACCATCATAAGACAAATCATTTAAAGCAATACGTTCTCAATATTCTGGCCATGCTAACAGCATAGCAAGTACATTCCGGTCAAACAAAACTGCGATGGATCGGTTTGTTTAGAAGCAAGCTTACGAAGTGGACATTTTTGTTAATTGAACATTGAGTTGTTAAACAAGCTAGTTACTCCTGCAGTGAGCATTAGCACAAAGCTGGTGTGGTGCTAGCAATATGGTCTTACATCCTTAAAGGCCTCTACACACTGATACAAATTTATGGTCTGAAGTTTTGTGCAACAATGCTTCTCGATCGAAAACCATGGGTACCAACTAGACATTACGCATCCGGTCGAACGAGTGGTGTCAACGACAAGGAGGTTCAAAGTGCCTTATCGGATTAATTTTTTGCAACGACCAATTAAAGCTCTTTTGTTTTTATATCCTACTCACTCTTTTGTTAACGTGAGTAGGATATGAATGGCTCTCATCCCACATTTTCATAGCGACTACACACAGGAAACTGGAAAGAAATAGCGCAGCACAAATTCTCTCTTTTTCCACATTTTTGTCAATCAGCTGCTTGTGATCAGCCACCAACAGTATAAACAGTGTACATTTTATTTATTCTTTGATTTCTTCTCCGTCGCCGTCTTCTTCCTGTTTCCCTGTGTGGCGTGGAGGGCATTAAGTCAAAAGCTCAAACACTGAAATATCTCGATCAATGGGACCTTTATACATGATGTATTATAGTAAAATTAGAAATATGATAAATTGCTATTAATTTAAAGCCAATCGGTCAATGTGCTTAAACTACTATATTGCGGTTAATACATGTATTGTGAACTTAAATAAACTACATTTTTTAAAGAAATTAAGACCAAAAATAATTTAATATTAAATATACTTTTAATTGTACACCAACAAATGATTTACAAATATAAAACTGGTTCATGGATCCAAACCAGACAGAATGTTCTGTATTTTGTGAAGAAAAATATCTTTCCTGACATTTATGATCTTCTGGATGCTTTTAGCGTTACAAGCATTTGAAATTGCTTGTCAGGTGACATATTACAGATGACACACCCCACAAGATGAGATCCAGGCAGTGAAAGTCATTTTTGTGAGATTCATCACCAAACAAATCACTGTCAGCTCACTGCTGAGTGCGGGGGAGGAAAGGAGAGGGAAAGAAAAAAAAAAAATCACAATTTAGCTTACGATTTACAAAAGTATCTTTAGATCTTCTTCAATGTCACATGGACCATGAAAGTAACAGAAGGAGTGCGACCATGATTTAATCTTTGCCTTCATTGTTCTTGCAACAATCACCATGATGTAATGCACCACAATGAATAGGGTTATAAACATTACAATTCTTATTTAAAGTTAAATGTTTATGTTAATTAGGGCTTTAACAAACCAATGTGCAGGATTCTGCTCTCAGGAAACCCATGAAAACCTATGTGTACATCTAATTACATGCTGTGTTTCCAGATGGACATTACATAAACGTGTACAAAAGTTCATCTCGGTCCATAGCAATACGTTTAAATAGACATTTAGGAGTCAACAACAGGCCAGGAAGGCAAGGCACAGGATAGCAGTGGAAGTTTTCTACAAACTAAACAAACTAAATTTGCTTAACAGCAAAACCTATTTATTGTGAATACTTTTGAAATGTGAATCTAATCTCTTTGGCAAGCAATAGTAATTGCTAGGAACAGCTCACACATTGACTTACAACTCACAACGCAGCATCATCAAATTCCTGAACAATACATTTTTAAAGGTTGTCAAAAGGTGAATTAGTCTTTTACTTTGGAAAAAAAATTCTAAACATATCTCCTCTTAGATTTAACTACATCCACCAAAGTTTGACTGGACATCCAAACTGGTCTGACATTTCTGGGTTGCTATAGCTCTTCATCCCACTCAACGAATTCTGGGAAATCTCTAAAAATGCTGGGGAATTTTTCTGTTGACATGGGGTAAAACAGAGAATCTCATGAAAACTTCTAACAGACCACATTTGTGGAGGTTATCCATCTGTGCAAGAACATGCCAATCACTCTGCAAAAGTATTTGAACTGCAGGCTCCAGAAGTGGCTCAATATTTAACATTGATATAATGGGCATTAAAAATGGGCAACGAAAATATTTTCATGGGGAAACATCACAGAACAAAAGGTTGGTTCATGTTAATCATAATAATAAATAAAAAGAAATATTATTATGACGCCATAGACAGCTCCCTAGCAACCAAACTGCTTACCCTAGCAATCAAAATCTCAACTTCGGTAAAAGAGAGAAAAGAGGGTTGGTTTATATAACTTATTTTGACAAAGAGAGAGTTATATTACTCCACTGACCCCAAAATCACAGAAATCTCCCCTGCAACTTAAAAGATTACCTATGCAGTCAAATTTTCAGAATTCCATCTCAGCTTTGGTAAATCATAAAGACATGGGGTTTTGGTTTATATCATTGGCATGAAAACGTATGTCACTGACTCCTCCATGGCAACCTAAAATTCTACCTTGGCAACCAATCCATTTTGCCTCTAAAACACTTTTTAATCTGCATTTTTCACTGAAATGCTAACTCATTCATTACAAAATGTGATTAAAACCATGCAGAATACTTAATCACAGGTTAACAGGTCTGTTACTTTCTTCATTAAAACATAATTCACAATTTTGACTTATGATAAAAACACATTGATATAATTTAATTTAAATGCATATTAGTCACCTAGAAAAAATTACATTAAAAAAAACATTATGTTATTATTCCCCTCTATTCATTAATGTACTACTCATCCCACACTTCTCTGAAGGACGTGAACACAGCCAACTCCACACAGTTAATCACTCACTGTGATGTTTGCTGGGTACGTGACAACCATCTAACCAGCCTGCAGACTCCTGGATCCACATGTAGACTGGAAAGATGCCTGCACACACAACCAGCCAGAGCAGACTGTGGATCGCCAGAAGATGGAAAACCTGGCTGCAACCCACCTCATTGAACTGAGGATAACATCCATTATGAAGGTTGAGAGAAAAAATGAGGGCTTTAGGGAGAAACCGTGTTTCGGGTACAATCAATCAGACACAGAGAATCAATCTAAAATGGAAGGAAACAGCTTGTTTGTCCCCTCCTTCTATCATCGGTACAGTAGAGGTTTGACCTTCAAGAAAACAAGCCCTGAACACATGGATTATCTCACAGCCACCTACAATGAGATTTATTTCGGTTATAATTAACATTGTGGCTGTCTGTATCCTTCTGAGAAGAAGAGTAAACATCACCGTGCGTTTCATAAATAAATTGTAGGCAATGGGAACGCAAAACAAATTATCTACGAAACAGATA